TCCCGTTCCACAGATGCAAAAGGGAACGGCGGCGTTCCTTTGTTCCTCCTAAAAGGAGCGCGTTCAAGGAACGCCGTTCCGTACAACACTGGTATAGAGTGATACACACGAGCACACGCCGGTATACAGGGTGCTTTTTTTATATTTTTTTAAGCTTTACAGGTTTGTTAAAAAAAAGGCGTGAAAGCTACACTTATGCGGTTTGTGCAGGTGAGTTATACAGCCAAGAGGACATTATGAGGGTGGCTAATCTTTGTGATAAGTCGGCTAATTAATTATAATTCGTTAATTGACTTTTTATGAGTGAAAATAGAGATGGTTTCAATTATAAACTTACTGAGCGTCATCGAAAACCACTAACTCTTTTTAAAACTAATTTTTTTTAAAAGAAACGAAAAAAAAAACAGATATATATATATTTTTTAATTTGTAAAGATTACAAAAAAGAAAAGAAAAAAGAACTGCATACAGGAACTTAATTAGAGTGTTACGTCACGCCGCGATGGTGGCGTTCCGTGTGCACTTCCGGTCTGGGCTGTGGGCGGAAGTCACCGTGCGAGACATGCATTCTTGCGTTGTTTTGAAAGGAACCAGACAAAAACCTGCCTTCTCGTCAAAACGCCGCGACTGGGGCCGTAACAAAAAAGTCGAGAAAGGTTTGAAGGTCAGTTTTCACGTGCTCGGTTCGTCCGAAAACGTGGATATGCGCCGTGAAAAGGAAAAAGCAGACGCCGCCGCGACAACGACTGCTTGGGCGGGAAGCACTTTGGGTTGAATTCACAGATGCTTGTGGTCATCAGATTTATTTGGTTTGTTCCAACATGAACATGGGAAAACCGTCAAGTTGTACGTTTCTGCTTGTCTGCTCTTTCAGGTAGCACCGGCCCGTAGACCAAACGTTGGCGCGGTAATTGCGATAAGAAGTAAGTGCAGGCTTCAAAAGACTTCCAAGTTTGAAGGTTGGTTAATGTAAGCAGGCTCTGTGTAAACAGTAGATAGAAGGAGGTGTTGATTATCGTTGCCAGTGGCCATCACCGACTTGTAATGCCTGAATAACTTAGTCCAATTCTGCTGGCGATTTTCAGTGTCGACGTCGACAATCTCAGCTGCGGTTCACACTTTTGCAACCCAAGCGACGTTGCGACTGAAAATTCCGGGCGGAATCTCATCATGCGAATTAGGTTCTAGCGTCCATTCTGCGGCGTCTACGTGGAATGAATCGCCGCATGTCACATTATTCACGCGAAGTTTTGCGGTGTGACGAGCCTCGGTAATTTCGCTGAGGCCGCTTGGGTAGTCAGACATTGCCAGGAAAACATAGAATCATCAATTCAAACCCGAAAAAGAGCACGGGGACTCACACCGACGCCGACTACATCCCATTCCAATGGTAAGTTCACGGGCGACGGCGAGCTTTCTGCCCACACTCCACCACGCATGTGCGGCGCCGTTGCGCCCGCTAGGGGCGCTCCGGTTTGTTTGTAAACATGAGTTGGTCTATATACGATGCTCGTCACCATAAAAACGGGCAGCAGGGTAACGACACTGAACACGATTCCTATTGATTCTGCGGCGCGAGCTTTAAACTCCAGGGCCCTCCTCCGATCTGAGGCGCGTCAACATACTCGATCATCGATCCTGCAATCAGATCGCTAAGTATCAAAAACCAAAAGCATCTGTCAACAACTATACGTCCGGGAGCTTTCATTTCAGTGAGCTGGTGTTAAGAAGAACTGCACACTTCCGCGACAAATTGGAAGCGTAAGCGGCGACGAGGTTCTGGAACGGCAGTTGGGAAAGACACCGGCGTTTATGAAACAATGGGGTCCACCGACGACTATAGCTGGTTCGATACACTGTGAAATGAACGGAAGGGAAAATCCTAATTAGATAGTACAAAAAGTACCATAGATAAAGAAAGAAAAAGAGAAATATAGAGAAACCCCCCCCCCTTCCAAAAAAAAAATAAATATATATATATAAAACGGCTGTTGCTAAACAACCTGAGTAGTGGAAATGACAAAGAGAACAATTAAAACTTTAAAATTGCGCAGAAAATGTATGTATCTATTTATTTCAGAGGCTCGTGGTCAGCGGCACTACTGAGATATAATCTGACAAACAATCCAAATGAATATTTTTCTCTAGAGAATCGCGTCTGTGTTGGGATAAACCAATGTCCAAGCAGAACAACAGCGCCATTGTAGTTCGGAGAAACGTGAAGGTAAGTATGCAGGAATTGAGTTGATTTAGTAACTCTGCGTTAAAAACTAAAAAAAAAAAAAAAAGAAAAAGACGCCAGCGTATTGTTGGCATTTCGGTGGTTATAAAAATACGTTTAAAAGATTATATATCATTTTTTAGCAGTGAGTATACGTGCCTCGCGTGGCTCATTACTTCTAAAACAATCATTCTGTGTTGTGGAAGCAACGAGTGACCACACAGTTTGAGTAGCAGATATGTTTGCCTAATTGTAGAGTTTGTGTTTGTTTTTTCTTTAAATATTGAGTTACGCAGAAATGTCTTATAAGAGGCCATTTACAAGAACGATAAAACAGTTTCTTAACTTGGCCTAATTAGTGTTCAGAACAAGCTTTTAAAGTTCAGAACAAGATGTTTTCTTGTTTACACGGACTATCCTTGAGCACGAAATGGCACTAATGAGGTCCAACATTTTTTCTTTATTTCCTCTTAAATTATTGTTCCCTACCTCGAACGAGTTGGTACACGTACGAAACGCATTAATTACTCTTGAGAACGGTTTTTTTTTTTTTTAATATTAGCAACAGCATTATTTCTTTAAAGGGCTTAATCCAACCAATAAAACTCACTAATTGTAAAAAAAAAAAAAAAGCTAAAAGGTGTTTAGAAAGTATTTGGGTAAATCGTGCAGGGCAACAGACCTATAGGGAGTATTCGCTAGTGGCCATATGCGTGTGCGCGGTTGCTGAGCGCGTGCTGACGGCGAGCTTCCGCAGTCCTTTTGGAGCGTGCATTTAGCACCATCCAGGTTGCCGGTCTTAGGAGGCTATTAATGGGAGCTCATTCTGAGCATGCGCTCTAAACAGCACCCACAAATATGGCGTCCAGTGAATACCACATTGCCCAAGCATCAAGAAGCTTGCAGGGAACGTAGTTAGACGCCCTGCGCGTGCTGGCGTTGGCAGTGGCATTTTTTAAAGCAAAACTCTAAAACAAGTGGCACTTCGCTCGTGCGTCTGCAAACGCCTTTTTGTTCTGATCTTTAATACTAACAAGGCAAGCGAGCGCAGCGCGTGTGGCTACGTTCCCTGCATACTTCTTGTTACTTGAGTAATTTAGATATAGGCCTATTGACACACACACATACACAAGCGGGTGGCTCTTGTGCATGGGACAGAATAACCCCACCTAAAACCGCAAACGCTATGCTTAAAAAAAAAAAAAACCCTAAAAACCCGCGTGGTTCACGAAAAAAAAGAAATACTACAATCACTACCAGCGCACGAGAAACCCCGACGGTCAAACGGGTTTGTCACGCCAAAGTACGACAAACTCGTCTGAACCGTCATTCCGAATTCATTGCGTATTCGAGCCGTAACAAACCCCCTCCTGGACCAGTGAAGGCACCTCTTCATAAGCAGGAGATCTTAAAGAAAAGAAAAAATAAATAAATAAAGAAAAAAAGACCAGTGCAACCTGTTTTGCATGCAACTGACTCTTCTACACTCTCCCCCTATCCCCCTCTCTCCTCATCCCCGTCTATAAATTTTGCGTTTATTAATCATTTTCAGTTTTTCTAAAGAACAGGTATAACGACGCCTTATACCTCGTTTCACGTAACGCTGGACCGCAGCAGACGCTACGACCGATCCCAGCCAATCCAACGCTCTGGATGTATCACGTCACTGAGCGCCCCGCGCCCCCTCTCAAGGGTCACGTGACACTCACGCGGCATTGGATTGGCTCAGACGATTTGTAGCGTCCTCCGCGATCCGTTGTACACTCGAAAAAGCCCGACGGGTCTAGTTTCCCGCAAGGCAATGAGACCCTTTTCAAACTCCGTGCCAACTCCTGTCCGCCATAGCTCGCTCACATACCCTGAGCTCGAATTGGACACGAGGGCTGACGTCAGCGTTCGGCGCCGACTCGGATCCAATCAGGCGCTTCGCGTCCGAGCAATGGCGACTCTGCCAATGTTGCTCGACCGACTTTTAGAAAGGGTCTACTGGAAGAGCCAATCGCTGAAATCTAGCTCAGCGAATATGACTAGGCTGAAAATATGGTTAGTAGACACAGACAGAAGAAAATAACTGGCTGCACCGTGACTTCGACCATGATCTGTCGCCATGCTCAGTTGCGCGGTGCGTACTGATATATATATATATATATATATATATATATATATATATATATATATATATATATATATATTTTTTTTTTTTTTAAAGGTTTAAACATGATTTTAGTTTCTTCACTACCTCCCTCCGCAAATTTCAGCGATTGGATCTTCTTCGTGTTTTGTGAGAAAGTAGGCACTCATTATGTTCAAGCTTCAATCTTCGTGGTTTTTTCTTCGCTGTTCCTATCGGCTAAGGCCGTTGTCACATTGCCAATACATCATAAAAACAAAGATTTGCGATCACCGTTTTAGTTGTGTTTCTACTTGTATGACGGTCCCCATAATGATATGCTATTTTAACAAGCTTTTATCATAATAAGATGTTATCATAATGATGCTACCATAATCATACCATAACGAGACCCCTCACGCCCTGTAGAAACCCTTTGGCTTCGAAAATAGTAGTAAATATATATATTATTAAAAAACATTATTGAGAGAGAAAAAAGGGGAACCTGAAGAGGTAAAGAGAGAGAGACTGGGAGAGAGAGAGAGATAGAGCATCTCGATTAAGGAAAAAAAAAACTAAAAGCGAGAGGGACTTGACAGGAGAGCCGGCAGCCAAGTGGCAGCAGTCGCGAGAAGGCAAGTCGTCGCTTTCCTCGGCTACTTCCAAAACGAGGTCAGCGCGGCGAGAAGAAGAAAAACGCCACTGCTGCAAATCCCGAAAGACCAGTTCCCTTTCCCGGTGCCGTATAAAACGCAAGCCGGTTTCTACGGGCGTCTCTCTCATTTGCAGGGGTTGCCTCGCAGAACGAGAGCGGTGCTGTCCGCCAAAGGGACAGCGGACTTCGAAGCGAACACTCGCTCCTCGCTCCACGAGCGCGTCGTCGTCCAAACCGGCCGGACTGTCGGACAACATCTTCGTCGCCTCACGCGCAACAGCGGGCACCTCCGTTTCAAAGACAAAACAGTGGGCTGGAGCAATGTTTGCAGACGACCGCTTGTTGTGACTGCCGAATTTTTTTTCTTTTTTCCCCTTTTTCTTTGTGTGGAGTGATTCGTGATCGAGTGAGTGACAAGCCTCGGTGAAGTGAAACTTTCATTTGAAGGAGTCGTCGTCGTGAAACGGCCTCAAACGCAACAGCCGGGAAGAGAAACTCGCTCAATCTGCAGCAGCCAAATCGCAGTCGACATCATCCTAACGGATTGGTTCAGTTTCGGTTTGTGAACGTCCCCTCCCTGGCGGCCCCCTGCTGGATAATGTCGTTCAGGTAGGTCTGATGACGCAATGACGCAATTTTCTTTTTTCTTTCTCGCCGTCAGACAACGTCTCCCGTGATTACGTGGCCTTGCGACGTAAGATTTCATTGTACGATTGTACGCCGGCGGTCCAACGGCCTCCATCTGTTCGCACGTGACTCGTTGTCGGAGCGGGAACACGTGACCAATCTCCGTCCGGCCTCCCGCAGTCTTGTCAACATTGCGCGGCAGTGTAGCTGCGTTTAGCATGATTTCGTAAAGCTGGTTTTCCCGCATAGTGGCACTTTATGTGGGAAAGCATGACCACAACGCCTCGGGGCACCAGCGCGGAATCAGTAACCGTCTTGGCTATGGAATGGAGGGCATACCTCTCAAGCACGTCTCCGATAAAGAAAAAATAAATATTTCAAATACAAAAGAAGGCAAGAACAAAAACACGACTTGACAACAATAACATTTCTGTTTTCAGTAGAACACAAATTAACAACACAAAAAGAAAAAACAAAAAAAGTAATTTTGAGCTTCTTGCCGCACTATCACCTACACGAGTCGCGTATAATACTGGCAAAAAAAGAGCTGACAAGGCATCAACTAAAAATTTCATGAATGAGTTAGAATATAGTTTAAAATAAATCAAATAAAAGAAAACAATGGCACAGTTAAATAGAAATGCATATTACAACGATTCACGTGCGTTGAACGTGGAGCGAGTACACCGAACAAGATGTGCTTTATGGCCTGGTTTCATTAAAATGGCAAAAAAAGAAAACTATGTTTATTACCAAAACAAAATAGGCCCTTTTGTGACAGTAGCAGTGCTGTCCACTACCTATTTATCACAACCACGTCGTTTTGGTTCGAGCTGGTGACGCTGAAAGATAAGTAGTGGCATGTTGGGGAGCAGCGCTTTTTGCCTGTCCATTCGGTGAGATAAAGCCATTATCTAAACGACAGCTTCTATTCAGATCGTCTTCAGGGGATTCAGTATTTTATTTTTTTTTCCTCTTTTAAAAAACAAAAGTGTGAATGTAAAAAAAAAAAAAAACAAACATAATCTACAAATAACTAATCGCAGTAAGAAAAAAAAAAAAGCTACAAGAAAAAAGACAGTGATGTATGTTTACTAACTTGGGGTAAAAAGCACCGGTGTAACGGCCACTTCTCCTAAGCCGGGAGAGATGGGGTTGAAACTCAAAGTTCGGCAGCGTATTGTTAAAAAAATTGTCAACATTGATACGAAATAACAGTGGCAGATAGTGATGAAGAGACAACGGAATGACGACTATGACATTAAGTTTGGTTTTCAACCATTCTTCCCGCTACGCCATGTTGTAACAGCGTGAATGAGCGGGTACCAGGGCCGGCTTGCTATAAACAGCGCCTGAGCTAAGACTGGAGGAAAGAACGCACTGCCAAAGCCAGCCTTTGCAGTGCTCTCCTTCGCCCAGTCTCGGCTGAGACGCTGTTCTAGCAAGCCGGCCCAGAGTTTGCTCGATGCACATCCACAATTCGTTTGCCACTATCAACCGTACTGTGTTGTTACGAGTTCCGAGCGGGCGAACATGTTGGTAAAATATGTGTCTGATTTCCAACGAATGTCGTTCAACTGCTTGCGTGACCCGAGACTTCGACGTACTCGAATCCTAGGGCGAAAATTTTTGCGGACGTCTCACAGGCACATAGAAACTAATCGCAATGGTCATTATCTTGTCGCTCGCTATAATCATTGACCATTTAAGAAACGCTGAGCATAGCCAGTACCGATTATCTTTATAGCAATTCCCGGCCAATGGGATTTCTACGTTAACCAATAGGAACCCCGAAAAGCGACTAAAAAAAAAACGACAAAAACACGAAGGAAGGGTAATAAGCCCCGCCCTTAGTTGTTAAGTTCCGAGTGGCTATGCGGGGCGCAAGTGTCGTCTGCTTCTTTCACAGGGTTAGCAATGATGAAAGAACGACGAGCTCTTATTGGCTGATTGAAAAAAAAAAATAGTGGGTAGACCTCGAGGCAAACAGAATGAGGTCAACTCAGTATCCTTTCAATCCAAGCCAATCAGAGCTCGGCGTCCCTCTGACGTCACCGCCACTCCTGCGCAAAAAGCAGACGACTTGCTCTCTGCATACGATGCGAGTTCCGATGACTCGTCCTCCCCAAAAACAATGTGCACTGTGGAATATGTTAATGCGCGGAGAAAGTGAGAGGGAGGAGGATGGCGAGAGCGCTCGGAGACGTCACAACTCCGAACTCTCCGCAATACCAGACGAACCCCTAAGAAAAAGAAATAAAAAAAGAATTTCCCCAGAATGCATATTTTTGCCGGCCGGCCTTAGTGTCAGTAAAACGTGAGGTTGTATATCGGCAGACCCCAACAGTGACGTCTTACGGTAATACACCCGGAAAAAGCTGCGCTGCTCTGTTGCTGAGCTTATCCCGAACCGCCTTCTGCACATCACGCGATGGCGCCACGAGATTCAGTCCCAAGGCGTAGCATTCTTCAGGCGAAGGCACCAGACTTACGCGGTTCATGATACTGCTTACAATAATTTATGTGGCACTAGTTTCTTTTTCGGTCGCTGTCCAGACGCGCGTTCGCTAACAATCCAGACGATCTCGTTTTTACGGAAGATTCATCTTCGCGGACTACCGAGGCCCTATTCTATTTCCGCGGTACCGCGGAAGCGGAGCTTCTCGAAGAATTCTGTGTTGCTGTCATGTTTGTTTCTTTCCCAGAACAACTAAAAAAAGAAAAGGTGTCTGCACGTTTGGACACGCACGAGCACAGTAACAGACGAGCTCACGCCGCGTCGTATAATACGGAAGGCGACTCGGGCAAGAGCTCGTCACGCTCACTCTTCCACCGCCGCGAAACGAGCTGTGCACGAGACCTTCGCCCACTTATAGTTTCCCACGAAACATAATTTAAAAAAAAAGGCCACGAAAAACCGTCTCATCTTCTCCAACACACTCTAGACGTGACCCGTGTTTATTTCGTTCAGCCCTTTCTGTTTTTTTGCTGTTTTCTTTTTTTTTTTTTTTTTCTTTCGTGCTTTAATTTTTATTTTGACTCGCATTCCCCGCGGGATAGAGATACTTATATACGCTCGAATTTTGTTCCGTGACGATAGCGGACCCCAACAGAGCCGCGCTGTGAGCCGCCGCCGAGACACGAAAACAAGGCTACCTCTTCCTGTCTGCTTCTGGGTGTCTTCCCCCCTTCCCTCCGCAAGATTCGCTCTTCCTCGCCGTTCTCTTTCTCCGGTCGCGTCCTTCGATTAAAACGTAAATATAGAAAGAGTCGAGCGAGGTGTTTCAGCCTTCACCCGAATACGCCTCTGTAATCACTCCGCATCCCCAAAACGGCAGTAGAAGCAAGAATTGAGAGGTTCTTGCTTCCACCACCGCTCTAAATCCGGCCGACGAAACCAAACCACGCACAATGAACAAAACGCCCCACGATCCAGCGCTTTTTTTTTTTGTGTGTGTGTGCATGATTGGTTAAGCCGGTGATGGCAAAACAACGCACAAAGTTAACGAGTAGCGTGACAAAGCACTGTAGATGCTGTTTAATTGGCTTCACCGGGTCGTAAGCGTCGTTTGCGGTCGGACTCGGAGTAAAACGGAGTATGCGGAGCCGAAGTTCGTCTGCTTCTTTTGCAGGGGTTGTGGAGACGTAAGGACACCGAGCTCTGATTGGTTCTGATTGAAGGATGCTGGGTAGACCTCGAGGCAGCCTGTTTTTAGGTCTACCCACCATCTATCCTTCGATCGGGACCAATCAGAGCTCTGCGTCGTTCTGACGTCACCGCAACTCCTGCGCAAGAAGCAGACGACTTGCTCTCCGCATAAACATCTCCAAAAATCGCCTTCTGCGCGCTGCCATCTTTCTTTGCTGGGCCGTGGAACGCCTTCTGAGCATGCGCTGTTACTCTCTTTTCCAGCATACCAGACGCTGCGCATGTGTCCGCAGCACAGTGACTCGGCATTTTTAGCCCCGGGTGTTGAGCGCTGGAAAGGTCTATACAGCGTCTTCGGCTATATTTAAAATGCTCTTGCCATTTTTTTTTTTTTTCGCGTTAACTTGGGTTGGTTATGCCCGAGTCCCATTAGACCGAACAAGAGCCGACACCGAAAACGAGCCTGAAACACGTGCGTTACGCACACGGAGGTATCTTTGACAAGCTTGCAATCACTCGTCCTTACTTCCCGAGCATCGAGAGACCGAGAGCCTGCCAAATGTAGTACCATCGTGTCCATGGTGCACGTGTTTGAGGCCTGCGGGTATCGGTTGACTTGGAGGACGCCATATTTGAGAGCGCTGTTTATAGCGCATGCTCAGAACGACCTCACGTTAGCAGACAGCTAAGACCGGCAGTCTTGATGGTGCGGAATGCACGTTGCAAAAGAACTGGGGAAGCACGTTCTCAGCTGTCGCGCACATAACTATGGCCGCCAGCGAATAGTCCCTTTAGTGGGGCTTGGCCATTGAAATTGAAGCATTTTAAACAAACTTGACGCGCAAAAACTGAAGGAATAGAGTCGTATCAACCCATCCTAGATACCAAGGCTGAAGTGCTAGGTTTTCTACGTCATTTACCGAGGGCCAGCGCAACGCACAGATGAAACGTTTTGTCATCGTTCGGCTGAAACTTGGGTAAACAATCAGTAAAAACACACAAGTCTCAGCCGAAAGAACAGTTCCGTCCCGCGCTAGCAGCCCGTAGATGACGTAAAAAATACGGCATTGTGGCTTTTTTGTTTGGAAGGTGGAGGCCATATCGCACAATTTTATCGAAAATAAAAACAAAAACGAAAACGAACGGACGTGCAACGCCTATGGACGGAAGTTCATTAGAAATATCGTGAGTACAAATATGAAAGTTTCGTAGCCTTAACTCGCAAAACGCGACGTTAAAATTGTTGCTTTTTATTTGCTTATCACTGCGCGTGTATGCCCTTTATCTGTAGTTCCTTCAAAAAAATTGACAAAACCTTATATATATTTTTTTT